TGCAATTAGTTGAGAAGGACGGAAGCAGAACAAGGTGAGAACCCTAAAATCAGTATCGGAGTCAAACCTTTCCCCAATTTGTGATCATACCAGTGCTAGAATTGGAGCTGCTGCCTGAGCGAGCTGAGATTAAATTTGGCTTTCATGGCTTTCAGGTTTCCTCCCTAGAGCACCGTTTTTCCCAGGACAACAGTTTTGTACAGCACATGTAATTAATGTTTTTGTCGCATTTTTCCTTGTGGATATGGAGCACACAGGACAAGAGCACCATACAGTGTGGAGCACTGTATCTCCCATCAAGTCATTTTAATATTGGACAAGAAGGAGGTGAAGAGTCCTCTTGTCAACATTGAGTGCAGTGACTATTATATAATTGTGTCTAGAAATGGTGAATTTCTTATCAACAAAGAATTTATTGTCCATAACAATGAAATTGTACTTTACTTCAAACAATTCACAACTGTGTTAGAAATTCTCCTGATGATGTGGTGCACTTGTGCTTTGTAATTTAATAGCCAGTTGCCACAGTGGTCACCTGTGAGTTGGGAGATCCATGTTCAATGCTCCTATCTGTCCAATGCTGGGCTCAGATGTGCACTTGGATTTCCTGCCTTTCCAGACAGAATCCCAGCCACGGAGCAATGAGCTTTTCCTGTCTGCATTGCTCTCAGTCTCTCCTTCCAAATTTGTTATCTTGCGTAATACAAATTTCAGACCTATTGGAACAGGGACAGGAAGTTGAGCAGCTCCCCCTCTAGGTGGGTGCCCCGGCAATCAGTCAATAAAATCATTCTCTCTGTCTGGCCCTGTGATTCAGGAACGCCATGGCTCCAGCAGCAGAGACTGAGGCCAGAGCTCCACCACTGGCTACATGGACACTGCTACCAGAAATGAAGCCGGGTTTGTTTGGCACGTCTGGTGAAGACACATCAGATCAATGAGGCAGCAATTGCCCAGCGAGGTCTGTACCCAGCACACTCAGAGGATCTGTCCCAAGGCTGACGAACACTGATACTGACAGGTGATCGAATTACATGGGTTCAGTTTCATAACTCTCCCATAGAGACAGCACGGTGAGCATAGGGTGCAGGAACCACTGCATGTCAAACTAAGCTACATCAACTTGCAGTAGCACTTGAATTAATGTACAGCATGAGCATTGCCCAGCAATAAGGAAGCTCCAGGACACAACACAGCTAGTCAGCAGGGCACCCCCCAGCAGTGTGGGAGACCTACTTTCCAATTGCTGCAACACACCAGACACAGGGGGATTGACCCGTGTCTGCCACATCCCACATGAGTGCTCTGGTTACTGGACTGAAGCTTAGAAGCATTGAGATGAACATTTTCTGAGCAGCCATGAAGTAAAAATTCAGTTAAAGTCACAGTTTAGTCCATTTCACACTCACAGTCCCCGGATCCATATAATTCCCCAAATCCCTACCCTTCACATTCTGAAACACACCCCAAGAGAACAGAGGGTAAGAACGCACAGTTAACCTGTCAATATCTAGCATCTGATTTTATTTCTGTGTTTAATGTCTGTTATAGAGAAACTTCACCCTTTCTGTTCTATTTTACATTCTGTTCAGTTGAGCCCATCACAGCGGATGCAGATACACCGTGTTCTCTCTTACACACCACGCTCTTATTTGTTTTGTTGTTCCCTTAAGATGAAGTGACAGACGTGAGAAAAAGCATGTTTTTTCTCATAGTGCATGAACCCAAAACAGGTGACAATCTCTGCAATAACTTGCTTTGCCTCAGCCATAGACTTCACAGAGGTCATAATTAAACCAAGTCAGCTACAAAGAAGTGGGACATGTGAAGTCCCCTTCTTCTTTCCAAATGCAAACATCTCATGGTGTAAAAGGTACTTACATATAACTATTTATTCATACATGTGGAACAGGAGTAATAGCAAAATAGAGCCCTAATTTAAGGTAGGACCTGCAGACCTTATTGGTATGTAAACAATTTACTAATAAGAATAACATAATAATGAATAATAATACCACAGGGTCTGCAAAATGACCTGATCTGGATTCACTTCCTTCCGCTCCCTATGACTCAACCTGTGCTGAGATGAAAAGATTCAAGACTTTCTTAGGAGTTTATTCATGGCTTTGTGCAAGGCGTCCTTCACCTCCCTGTTCCTCAGGCTGTAGATGAGGGGGTTCAACATGGGGATCACCAGCGTGTAGAACACTGAGGCCACTTTGTCGGAGTCCATAGAATAGCTGGAGGTGGGTCGGAAATAGATGAAAAAGAGGGTGCCATATAATATGACCACCACAGTCAAGTGGAAAGCGCAGGTGGAGAAAGCTTTGTGCCGGCCCTCTGCAGAGCGGATCCGCAGGATGGTGGAGAAGATATAGACATAGGAGAGGAGAATGGCCACAGCACTATTCAGAGTAATGAGGCATGTGAAGAAAAAGAGCATAATGTCATTGATGCGTGTGTCAGAGCAGGAGAGCATCAACAGTGAGGGAGCATCACAGAAAAAATTATTAATGATATTGGAGCGGCAGAATGACAGCCGCAATGTCAGAATTGTGTGTATTATTGATTCCACCAATACCACAAGATACATCCCAGCTACCAGCTGGTTACAACGCTGTCTGGACATGGTGACGGTATAGAGCAGTGGGTTACAGATGGCCACGTAACGGTCATACGCCATCACAGCCAGCAAGAGACATTCAAGATCTGCAAAAACGATGAAGAAATACATTTGCACAGCACAGGCATTGTAAGAGATGCTTTTCCTCTCCGCTAAGAAATTCTGCAACATTTTAGGAGAAATTATTGTGGAATAGCAGAGATCACAGAAAGACAAATTACTAAGGAAAAAGTACATGGGGGTGTGGAGTCGGGGGTCAATTGTAATTAACAAGATCATCCCCCCATTCCCCACCATTGTGATAACATAAATCAGGAGGAACACCCAAAACAGGGGAAGCTGCAGCTCCGGACGATCTGTCAGTCCTGAGAGAATGAACTCAGTCACCACCGAGTGATTTCCCTCTTCCATCTCGTCTGAGCTGAGATCAGGCAGCTACGGAGTTGTCGGCAGATGAATGGCTCAGGGAAATTATCCCTTCTCTGTAACAAATTAAGGAAAGAAAAATGGATGTTAATATCTTAATGGGCACCAGTTCAGGATCAAGGAATAGATAGATGGTAACACAAAAACACTCCTCTTCACTAATCCGAGTAGCAAACACCAACTTGTGACTTTGTTGTGGGAGAATCAAGCTGAAAGTCATCTCAGACTGAAGAGACAATTGCTTAACTCAGGAAAGTGAGAGTAAATGAGTTTCACTCTCTCACCACTACTTGGGCAAGGATACATCAATAGCTCAGCATGACGGTTGGTGATAAAACTTGCTTATGAAGCATCTTAAATCGCATTTCCATTGGTGTGTATGAGAACCCTGAGAGATACTGGAAACCTCTTGCCTCAGTGACTCCGTAAGTGCCTAATTTGTCTTTATCTGAAAGGGTAGGATCTGGATGGAGGCCTTTAGTGCTGGAGACCATGAATGAAAAACCTTGTGGTCATCATGTGGTCTCTCTGAACGTGACTGTGATGCAGGACAGTACACTTACCTGCTGAGAAGAAAGAGATATGGTGCAGTCTCCCCATCGACAGAAATTGCCTATTTTCAGGATTCAAGAAGTTTTATACTGAGATCTGTTCCATGGGACATGTTCCCTGAAGTAAGTGGGAATAACTGCACTCTGAGGGGCACCCACCTAATTAATGAGCTCAGTGAACCAAAGTTTCTCCTGGTGTAACTCATGACCTGGGGATTAATTTGCT